CCCCCCCCCCCGTTACTCGTTCCTCCATTCCCCGTTCCCCCATTCCCTGTTCCTCCATTCCCCGTTCCCCCATTCCACGTTTTTCGACAGAGAAGACGATCTTTTTGCTTGTATTCAATCTACAAACACTAAAAACAAGTTTACTAGTCGTATTTTACTCGTATGTACTCGTATTCTACTCTTATGTACTTGTGTTTTACTCGTATGTACTCGTATGTTACTCGTATGTTACTCGTATGTACTCGTGTGTTACTCGTATGTACTTGTGTGTTACTCGTATGCACTCGTGTGGTGTTTTAGTCACGATCCAATGATTAGTGGTTGTCTAGATAAAACTATTGCGTGACCCCTGTTGTGACGTGCGTATCTACAAAAATTGAAGATGGCGGACATTTCATTTGTAGAAGTAAGCAAGATATGAAAAAACGGTAAAAGAGTATTATATATACATGTTAGTCTTAAAAGTTTTTTCAAATGAGAAAATAAAAGATACATTGGCATTTCCCTTTAAGAGACGATTGGGGACGAGTCAGGGTTAAATATTTATTGTTTGACAGTGACATGACGTAAGGACTTCTAAGGTCAACTTTTTAACATTTTGTTCATTGTCATGCAGCACTCGGTACTGTCATTCCAGCTTGCTCTGTTAGAATCTCGTCACTTGTAACGTCAGTACATCTCCATCTGTCGTCCGGGACATCTATTCCCTGAGGTTGAGCGGAGCATTTGACTGAATCAGTACAGCGATGGCAAGGTACTTGAAGATTTTAATTAGATCATTACTAGTGGCTATAGGTTTGGTTTCGCTTTATCTGATTTATGGACATAAGAAACCAAAAAGTGCAGGATTCAACTCGAATGGGCATCGTACCATCGTGAGCAAAATACCGGCAAGTCATGTGGCCAAAGAGGGAATTCTAAGGAAACGTAACATAATGTTATTTGTCGGTATATTTTCGGCTCCAATACGCAGTGACCGTAGAAATGCCATTCGCGAAACGTGGATGAAAGAGTGTGAAGGGAATGCAAACGTGGCCTGTTTGTTTTTTACTGACGCACAAGATGTAAGGGGCATGCCTTTGCATGGCGAAATAAAAACAAATTTGGACAATGAAAGCAGATATTATAAAGATCTTATTTTTGCTAAGTCACCGGGTGGTCTAAACTTTGGTCGTAGAATACTGTGGATGTATGAATGGGTAATCGAGCGTTACGATTTTCAATATGTATTGCGTCTCGATGATGACTATTTTGTTTGCTTTGACAAGTTAATTGATGAATTACATCACAGACCGAGGAAACTGTTTACCTGGGGTTGGTTACATTGCCGTAAAAAAGGTATACATATATAAATGTATACATATATTCAAGTCAGAATTACTCAACCATGCATTAATTATATACAAAGCGCTCAGCCGGCTATAGAATTACATTACATATATATATATACTGGTAGAGAGCCGAAAGGTATGCCAAGCGTACATGCGCCCGCTGTCACTGTGGACAGAAGTTCCATGTTCCCAATTGGTTGATTTGACCTATGATTGGTCACATTCAGCACTTCCGATGGCTTGGTATCATCTATAAACATCGAAACTTGTTCCGCATTAGTTGAATTGTCTGTCACTGCAACGTCCGGTAGGCGATTGATCTTAGCAGTAAAAGAAAAGGGGCCAATCTTGCTCCCTTGCGGTACGCCAGCGTTAATATTTCCAGATTTGCAGTTCTTGATAAGGGTTGATACTTGATGAAGGCGTTTCTAACTGATTGAGCAAAATGAAATTTTAGATTAAAATTAACCTTCAAGGGGACTTGCTCTTATTCTTCAAACTCATTTGTAATTCAGTTACGCCTCCTTGTAAGATTCACTCTTTTTCTCCAATAATATCCTGCAATGGTTTTAAAATTAAATAAAAACAAATACTGGGGGCCAAAAAGAGGATTTCTATTTCCATTTAAAAGTTTGATATTTTCATGCTCACTCCATTAAAAGGTAGCCATCTATTTTAATTTTAGGGAATGTACGTCTTGATGAAGCGTTTATTATCATCACCAGAGATCTCATTCAATCATTTCTTGATCGGAAAAACAGCACATTATTATGCCATGCCCATGGTGGTCTAAGTATTGGAATATGGCTGAATGCTATCCCTAGATTTATAACATTTGCAGATATGGGAAGAGTAGGTAGTCTAGGACCAGACGAAAAGGTCACGAGACGTACTGGAGACGAAATATGCCAAACGAAGCTTGCTATACACAACGCTTATCCAGAAGAGATGAGATTATTCTGGAATATTTCCCAGCATGAAAGCAAGAATGTTAAACCCGAAATACCTCCCGTTACCTTTAATTGTGAGTTGCCACATGGCATTGACGTGAAAAGTATTCGACCGCCGCGTGAACCAAAACTATGCAAAGATAATCCAGCATGGGATTTCGGAGAATATTGGAAAGGAAGCCAAAAAAAACAAAGAACTAAATGAAATGTGATCCTATGCAATTCGGCAACGTAAAGAGATTTTTCGATTTTAGTGATAGATAACTCCCATCCTGACTTAACATGCAACGACATTTATGACATCTCTTTTTCAAATTAACTTTTCTCCTTGCCTGTTTATCACTAACCGCAAACATTTAACATTGGGACCGAGGGAAACAGTATGTTTTATGAACCTGAGAATGCCAAATATACTGTTTCGCGAACGTCCCAGTCAATAGTTACCGCCATTAAAAAACTCGGGCTGATCACTTCCTGCATGATCAATCACATTACAGTGTTACAATTGTTGTTGTTTAAGATTGGATTAAAAAGAAAGGAAAAAGTTAACTTTCTAATAACAACTTAAGAGTCCGTCTCTGTAATTTCCGACCACTCGATACTGGTTCAAAAATAAACCTAGCCTTAAACTTTGTGTGTGGATTAAGAAACCCTTGCTTATCATCAATACAAAAGGGGTTTGTTTCAAATTTCAAAAGATTTCGATATTTGGGCAATTTTACGTGTGTACGTCGAAGCACAAAATTAGCATCGCTGCAACACACAAAAATTAGTCATCTTTGTCACGTTCTCGCGCTCTCAAAAATGATTCAATCCGAGATATACTCTGCAGGCCTGCAGTTTATTACACTAGCTCAGCATTTATGAACTCAAACTTTGGATGTCTTAAAACAACTTGGAGATAGTGCCGACTATAAATACGCGGCTAATCGACCGGGTGAAAAAGTAGCATTTCTAAATATATATTTTCTCCATACTGGCACAACTCTACTTATCAAGAGTTGTACACGCTTAATAATTACGAATAACAGCACTAGTTTCCGTAAAAACATCCATGGCTATCATCACTGGGACAAAATAAAACAAATTTGAAATGTGAGGATTTTACATACCTGCGCACGCTAGTTACGGCAATTTACATTCATAATTATCCGCTACAAATCGTAAAACAATCGCACATCAAATAGCTTGGAACAGTGGCTAATACTGCAAAATGTGTTGAAGTCAAGTGTCATTGTGTCAAGATGTAATGTGACACTGTAGAAAGTCTCGCTTCATCATCTCCACGTTTATAGCCGTTTTATTACAACTGTAGTTTTATCCATCTTCCAAATTTGAATCCACACAAAAAACAGGATCCTCCAGAGTACATAACAGCATAACTGTATTCAAATGCAGGCTGGCTGTATAAACTGTTCAAAGTCCATGATGTCCATCTAATTTGCAACAAATTCAAATATTCAATGCGACGTTTCATAGCATGTTGACATTTGCGTTGTCTGATAAACAAACTTGTCAGTTGCATTGGCTGTGGCATTGGTCAGTTGTCGCCAGTGCTTCCACAACCACGTCTTCAAATGTCCTTTCATGATCAATTTCATAATCTCAAAATTTCTCTGCCACCGAAGACAAAAGAAAGAAAATTCAGGCAAATTCGAGTCAATTTATCACAACACATGTTTTAAAATTAAGTTGTACTGTAAGTACCATCGATGCAGCCCCGGCGCAATGCTTGGCCCCAAGTAGGTCACATCCATTTGCGCTTTTGCATATATTAAACAGCGATAATTACACATTTTAGCGCAAAGGATCGACAGTATTAATCAATATATAAAGCTCTCTGTTTTGACGCAGACGAGTCCACGCATAAACTTCGAAAATATAATTACATTACCTGAAATTTTAGACAAGCTTGCAAAAGGAAGTGGAAGCACTGAGGACAGTTCGTTAATATCCTTTGAACTTATAAACTGTGGTTTCTATAATATTCACGAAAAAGCATGCGGATTTTCCAGTTTAAGTAAAGCGAAAGATAACGTATTATTGCAAGACTGCACAAGCGATATTTCAAAGCACTTGGCCAACTGTCACTTACCTAAGTCTTTACAAGAGTATGAGGTTATTCTAGCTCGTGCAGGGGTTTTTCGATGGAGTAAAGAGTTCCTTGAAAACACTATAATTTGCCCTACTCACCGAGACGAATTAGGAAAGTATTGGCGGCCCTCCAAATCTTGTCAGTACCCAAGTCACAAAGGAAAACCAAAACAACTGAAGGACACTCACGTCATTAATATCAAGGTTGCCACAGAAATTTTTGACTTGTTTGGATGCACAGTTCCAATCGGATCACGTAAGTCATTATTCGTTTGCGCACCTTCATACTAAAATACGACTTTCTTTCTTATTTTTGAGAGTTTGATTTTGTTCACAGCAATTTGCTCAACATGCAGACGAAGTCATGGGGAGTCAACATGGAAAGCAGAAGAAGGTAGAAATCAAAGAAGGGCATATGAAAGGTTCGTTTTAGCAGTCGGATAAATTAATATTTAGGTCAACCAATTTCGCGCTGCGGAAACGTGCATCAAGGTTCACCACAAGCATCCTGTAGTGAATGTCTCTCAAGCTTGAACCTCAGCTGGTATATATGGGTACACTGTACATTTGCCATATTGAAAATTATCTTTGTTTTTCTTGCAGAGCAACAAACAGTCCAGATGCACGGAATCTTCCCGATATATCAAAACTTAGTGTTTCAACATATTCTGAAAGTAGTGCATGGACACCTGGTGCATTTTCTAGACTTACCTTGAGCAGTGATGATTCACATGAAGACCTTTCAGCCACTGGTGCACTAGAAACTTTCAATGAAACAATGGAAAAACTGGCTGAACATACATCTAGAGAAATTACACCGTTGAAATTTCAACTAACCAGTATGTGGGACGAAGCAACACCCGATGAAAAGCAAGCATGCTTGGAGAAAGCCGAAGAGGCATGTAGGGTTGTGTGTGATATAATTGCTCCTGCGGACGGCTCAAGTCTTTATGACTCACTTCTGAGTGAATCAGACGGGGAACACATCTCAGGTGACCTAGTTGCCTTAATGACTGCATTTGCAGATGCTCCAACGCGTAAGCTGAAACTACAAATACTAAGTATATATGCATACCGATATCCAGTAAACACACTGATTAAACTTCACGAGCCATACGGAGGAGTTTCAAAATGGCAAATCAAGCAAGCACGTGCCCATGCAAAGTTGAATGGACCAGGATCAATTCCGGAAAAGACTATTTCCCACAGAGTGCGTATCGATCAGAGTAAACTTGACCATTTCCTTTCTTTCATTAACCGCCCATATTTCTATCAGGATGTTGCATTTGGTATGCGTACGATGACATTGAACAGCGGGGAGAAAATCGAGATGCCTAATATCATCCGCACGGTCTCAAGATCCACTATAGTAGCACAGTACCAAAAATATTGTGAAGAAGAAAAGTTTGTACCGATTAGTAGATCGACAATGTTTAGGATCTTGGAGGTACGAGAAGCGTCGCAGCGTAAATCACTAAGTGGGTTGGATAATACAGCAACTGATGGAGCTATGGGATTTTCAACATTGGAGAATATCGTTTCTGAGTTGGGTCAATTTGGTGCTGACAAGAGATGGGTTGAAGATACGACGAAGATCCTGCGTGATAGTAAACTGTACCTTAAAGTCAAGTACCCCGTTGATTGCACAGAAGAAAATGGCAGTCTTTGCAAAGACCACTGCAGGATGTATGCTCTCAGTGATCCCAAAGATAAGGAACTACAACAAACTTGTCCTCATGAGCATTCAATGAAATGTGAAGAATGTGAAAATCTAAAATTTGTCATCAAAGATATTGAAGAAAAAGTCGAAAACCTGTGCCAACATTCCAGCATGACAGAAAGGCGGGAAGATATGCTCTACGACCTAAAACAGGCTGCAAAGGATATTTTTGACTGGAAGTCTCACATATTGCGCTCGACCAATCAAGAGAATGGGAAGCAGGACGCCCTTCGGCAACTCGATGAGAAGACAGTTCTAGTGGTCATGGACTGGGCCATGAAGTTCCAGCCGAGAAAATATCGAGAGAAACAATCTGAATGGTTTGGGAAACGTGGGTTGTCGTGGCATGTTAGCAGCGTTATTTCAAAGCATGATGACACATTGAGCGTGCAGTCTTTTGTTCACTTAATTGACAATAGTAACCAAGACTGGTTTTCAGTGGCGTCAATTGTAGAAAATCTTCTTCAGACAGTGAAACAGGAAAACCCGCAGATAACTAAAGCATTTTTAAGGTCGGATGAAGCGGGCTGTTATCACAACAATATGCTGATTTTAGCGTGCAATGATCTTTCTCAGTCAAGTGGTGTACAGATTGTAGGGTATGATTTCTCTGAGCCGCAATGTGGGAAAGACATTTGTGATAGGATTATTTGTCCAATGAAGTCAACTATCAATTCTTTCTGCAATGAGGGACACAACATTCTTTCTGCCGTTGACATGCACACTGCGTTAAAAGAACGACCGGTAAAAGGAGTGACTGCCAGCGTTGGAGTGATCGACGAATCTAAAAATACTTTCGACGTTCAAAAAATGGACGGATTCAGCAAATTCCACGACTTTCGCTTTGAAAAGAATAAGCTAAGAGTCTGGAGGGCTTACGGTATCGGAAAGGGTAAAGTAGTTAAAACTAAATCTCTGTACAAAAATCGCCTGGTTCACCCTTCTTTACTGCACCTGTCAGATGAGCATGGATTCTTTCCTTGCAAAAGTAGAACAATGGACACAAAGGAAGATGCAAAGAAGAATGAAGATCAAGAGATTCATGTATTTGATTGCAATGAGCCAGGGTGCGATAAGTCGTTTGACACATTATCTGATCTGGAACTCCATCTAGATGTTGGAAACCACCAATCCTCTACACATCGGCCTAAAGAGAATTTGTACGATTCCCTAAGACGAGACTGGGCTAAGCAGTTTTCCACCATCACAAATCTCAAGCCAAACAAGGACAAAGCGAAACACAAGGAACTGCTGTTTGGTGGTTCTTCTGAATTATGTGAAGGGTGGGCGTTGGCAACTAGTTCAGGAAATGCTCGTTTTGCAGAACACGTAAAGTCATACTTAACCACAAAATTCGACCTGGGTATAACGACCGGTAACAAAATCACACCAAAAGAGGTTGCACAAGACATGCGTCGTGCAAGCAACGAGGAAGGGGAAAGACTCTTTTCAAGAGACGAGTGGCTGAAAGAGAGCCAGATTAAAGGCTTCTTTTCTAGGCTGACATCCTCACGAAAAAGATCAGCACCTTTAGAAACCGAAGAAGAATCAGACGATGAGTGGGAAGAGTATGAAAATGAACTAGAGTTGCTAAATTTTATCCATGAACGCATTGGCTTGAAGCATCCAATTATCTATGATACTTTTAACCTTTGTGAATATGCTGCAAAAGGAAGACTCGCAAAACTTAATAATACTATATTAAAAGAAATTCTTGATTACTATGAAATAATTTACACATCAAAGGAAAGAAAACAAGACTTTGTAACAAAGATCGAGGAAATGGTGAAAGAATGTGGGTGCCTGCATTGCCATTGATGGCGAAACTTTTCCTGCATGACCGTCGCTTGCAACTAAGGATGAACAGTCGCTGATAAAACACTGTCTATTCTCACAAGAACGCCCATTGATTTTACCAAGAAAGTTCAAAGTTTGTAATGACCATTTGACGGTTTCAATTAGATCAGGTAATTGTCTAGTCTCCCTCGCAGCCGCTATTATTACCATTTGCAAGCAACCGTTCGGCCCAAACATTTCTATACGCGTTGTTTTACACTTGAAACATGCACGTTTGGCCTTGGAAACGTGTATGTTTGGCCTTGGAAACATGTATGTTTGGCCTTGGAAACATGCACGTTTCTAAGTGGTTTTAGACAGTAATTTGACATTTGACGAGTAACGCCCACATGTTTATCAAACGTAAGGGTACATTCAGAGCAAAATTTGAAACGATTGTGATTTTATACAAATTGAATTATTAATTTTACTAAGTATCAACATTAATAACGATGCCAGTGCAAGTAAAAACTTTATATGGTCTAAAACTACTGTTTAAAACTACTTAGTAAACATGTATGCCTTCAAGGCCAAACGTACACGTTTCCAAGGCCAAACATGCACGTTTCCAAGGCCAAACGTGCATGTTTCAAGTGTAAAACAACGCGTAAAAATGTTTGGGCCGAACGGTTGCTTGCAAATGGTAATAAAGATTCTCACGCGAATAGACAATTTTTTATCCGCGACCGCAACTGTTCACCTCTAGTTGCAAGCGACGGTAAACGAGGCGAAAATTGGCAAGTTTGTTTATCATTAGAAAGAACGCAATGTCAAAATAAAGTTCCCATTCAATTTGTTACAAAGGCATCATCTTCATGCAGTTTGTACAGCCTGCATTCGAGTAAAATTATGTCTATGGAGGACGCTGTTTTGTGTTTTTATGGCCGCTTTGGAAGTTGGATAGCAGCCATAAACATAGCGCCGCTGTATCGGCATGGAGGTGATGAAGCGATCTTTCTTTCCACAGTCTCGCAACATAAAGAAATCCTTGAAAGTGTTCTCAACACAACGACACTTGACTTCAACACATTTTGCGCTAAGATGTGTAATTATCGCTGTTTAATATGTGCAAAAGCGAAAATGGATGTGACCTACTTGGGGCCAAGCATTGCGCCGGGGCTACATCGAGGGTACTTACAGTATGACTTAATTTTAAAACATGTGCTATGATAAATTGACTCAAATTTGCCTGAATTTTCTTTCTTTTGTCTTCGGTGGCGGAGAAATTTTGAGATTATGAAATTGAATGTGAAAGGACATTTGAAGAGGTGGTTGTGGAAGCACTGGCACAAACTTGTTTATCAGATAACGTAAATGTCAAAATACTATGAAACGTCGCATTGAATTTGTTGCAAATTAGATGGACATCATGGACTTTGAACAGTTTATACAGCCAGCCTGCATTTGAATACAGTTATGCTGTTATGTACTCTGGAGGATCCTGTTTTCTTTGTGGATTCAAATTTGGAGGATGGATAGAATTACAGTTGTAATAAAACGGCTATAAACGTGGCGCCGCTGTATCGGCAAGGAGATGATGAAGCGAGACTTTCTACAGTCTCGCATTACATCTTGACACAATGACACTTGACTTCAACACATTTTGCAGTATTAGCCACTGTTCCGAGCTATTTGATGTGCGATTGTTTTACGATTTGTAGCGGATAATTATGAATGTAAATTGCCGTAACTAGCGTGCGCAGGTATGTAAAATCCTCACATTTCAAATTTGTTTTATTTTGTCCCAGTGATGATAGCCATGGATGTTTTACGGAAACTAGTGCTGTTATTCGTAATTATTAAGCGTGTACAACTCTTGATAAGTAGAGTTGTGCCAGTATGGAGAAAATATATATTTAGAAATGCTACTTTTTCACCCGGTCGATTAGCCGCGTATTTATAGTCGGCACTATCTCCAAGTTGTTTTAAGACATCCAAAGTTTGAGTTCATAAATGCTGAGCTAGTGTAATAAACTGCAGGCCTGCAGAGTATATCTCGGATTGAATCATTTTTGAGAGCGCGAGAACGTGACAAAGATGACTAATTTTTGTGTGTTGCAGCGATGCTAATTTCGTGCTTCGACGTACACACGTAAAATTGCCCAAATATCGAAATCTTTTGAAATTTGAAACAAACCCCTTTTGTATTGATGATAAGCAAGGGTTTCTTAATCCACACACAAAGTTTAAGGCTGGGTTTATTTTTGAACCAGTATCGAGTGGTCGGAAATTACAGAGACGGACTCTTAAGAGTGTTGGGCAAAGCCATTAACATTCCACTCTCCAAAATAAAACGAAATTAACAGTTTTCCTTGGTTTTTGTTGTATGTAAAAATAAAATCCTTTTCCTCAGAAACCATAAGCCAAACTTTGTGCCCCTTTCTTGAACCAGATGCAAGGATTCTTTTGAAATAAAATATAACTTCTTCGGCAGGAAGGCCAGACAACAACACAAACAGCTCCTTTAGCAGACGAATGGACGTCAAGCGAACAACTTCCGTACTTTTGTTGTCGCTGTGGCAACAAAAAGGCACGCCAAATCCGTCGGAATTTTGTACAACTTTGGCGAAGATGGCAAAAATTTCCCTCGGCATATCACAACTTATTTGGCCGCAGTAAGCGTTGCGATAGCCCGCTTTCCTGGCCAGTCGACGATAAATAGCTTTCAGCCACAGCCTCACTTCATCTTTAATTATTGTACTAGCATGTATTGGGTGACTTGCCAGCACTCTTGCCCCTTGGCCGAACGCTTCTTGTGCACCAATACGACAAAGCTCGTACAAGGGTTCTAAAATGTGGGCGCAAGAAGACAAAAAGAGCTCTTTGTCAACTTCCCCATCGATGAGTGCAGAACTTAAACCACGTTTCAACCTTTCCCCGACATTTACTTCTTCCGAATTCCCTTCCCCTTCGCTTTCATCAAACATTTGCTCCACTACTTGTTGTGCACTCATCGACACCGCCATTTTGAATTTCTGCGCACTCATGGGCAAAACCGCTGAATCTCATGCATGGCGAACTTGGCCGAATTTGCTCTATTTTATGCCAAGCGTGTTTAAAAAAGTACAACACGGTTTTTGTTCTCGATTTTAACTGAAAATAAGCCAGCAGTTTCATGAATTAGTGGCTGTTCAACTGTGAAACAAAGTTTGTATAGTAAATATTGTTTTGATGTTGATGTCTTTGGACTTTGATAATTTAATCGTTGTTGTGCTGGTTTGGGTAAGTGTAATGCAAGCTGGTATGCATGAAATTGCAGTGAAAGACTGATGTTATCGTTCATTATAGCTAGCGCATCAGTTGCATTTTTATGTTTGTTTATAATGGTCTTAATACTTTATGTGGAGTTTTTACACTTCATCTGTTAAGAAAGGTGAGGGGTTGCTGCATGCATGTATTTTCTAGTAATTAAAGAAACAAAATTCGTAAACATTAAATATTCAAAGGAAACTTGCCATATATTTCACGATTTCCCATAGTAAATCTATTCTCATCTCTTCAAACAGAATTGCTTCAATTAAGCTTGTTGTATATGAAACGATTTTCCAATTGAAATCTTGCTCATCCCACTCCTACACGCAATCAGCCATATTTTAGAGATCAGTGAGGATGACTACCCACTCACCATCATTGGTGACCAATGCCCACAATATTTGATGAACTTTAGACTTCGCTAATGCTTTCGTTTCCCAGGGTGTAAATAGCCAGGGGGAATTAGTACCCTCGCACGGCGCTTTGCTCCGTCGGCTCGGGGATAACATACCTACAGTACATATGTCGGAAATACATTGTTGTATCGTTAAGCAATAATATTTTTGCTGTGTTGTACAAAACTAGTTAAACCACTGAATAAAAGCGAGCCTGCGTTCAGTGTTGATCAATTAATGATACTTCATGTTAAATCAATGTTTGGAAAATATAGGTGAGGGGTTGCTGCATGCATGTATTTCTAGTTTATATGATAAATGATGCAAATTTCAATAGGTATGTTGTTTAGCCAATAAGTAGGTTTTAACTTGCTTAAAGAAGGAAAGCAAAGGTACATTTTTAGTTATATGTGGGAGATTCTTCCATATTAAATCAATTGTTCCAAACGAAATTGCCTGTTTACCAGTATTTATAGTTCGAACATATGGTTTATACATATTTAAATTAAATATTAATGCCCAGCAGAAAATACGTAAAAAGAGCCATAACAAAAATATAGAAGAAATTACCAAATATGTGTGGCAACAAACCTTTGTGCCACATATGAATAAATTTCAAGGCATGTAAGCGATATACATTTTAAACTGTTAAGATATCAAGCAAATTTAGCAATGGAATATTGATCTGATTGCATGATTCTGTTTCACTTGTACTTTTTGTATAAGCAACATGCAAGTGCTGCCCCATGCCAAAACCATGTGTGATATATATGGATAAATAACACTATAATAAATTTGTGATAATTGCTTGATAGAGAGACAGTGTTGCAGTTTGGATAATGCTAATGCCACAAGATATCCAAGAACATATATATGGTGTATGATACCTCCAGGATATCGTGTCATCTAGCATTATACTGAAATACTTAATATGACAGACTTGCCAACCTATTCCAAAGAAAAGCAGGGAGATCTACAACTTTCCTTGCCAAAATATAGTGAGAATGGTGGAAAAATAGTGAGAAAATAAGAAAACATGTTACAATGCATTTTCTCCATGCAACTGTACAATAGAATGATAATATCTGAGAAAGTTATTGCTTCTACTTATTTGCTGTTTTTTATGCGCATTTTGAATTCACTCAGACATGTTTCTTGTTGTACATCATAGTGGCTTTCTTTGAATCTTCTAGCATTTCATCACTAGGCTTCTACTCATGACATGGCGTGGATGATTCGGGGTATTGTGACTTCATCGCCAAAATGCTTGACAAGGTACCATCGAGCTCAGAGGAGGAATGAGGGTCTTCCCGAAATGCAACGCGCGAATCAGTGCGGCTCATTATTATTCAAGCTATTTATTCTCAACGCGCCGTTCGATTAAAAACTGTTGAAATAATTGCGATTTTTGCCGTGAAGATCTCGTTTTCTCAAAGGTATGTTTCGATAACCTTTTTGTTTAGTTATTTAATAAAAGAATTTTTGAATCATTTTGTATATATATCGCATTTTACTTATGTTAAATTCCGATTATATTTATGCATGTTTTGGGTGTTGGAAAAGTGGCCTTGAAATATTCTGGAGTAAATTGTACTTTTTTACAAGGAAACTAAAATAAAATTACATGAGTGAATTCAGGAATGTTTACTCTTTATATTGATACTTTAAAACATGAATTTACTCCATAGAACAGAAGAGTTATCGCGGTTTGAAAATGAGCTATTTTTGCTAATTATCGATAATAGCAAAAATAGCTCATTTTCAAACCGCGATAACTCTTCTGTTTTATGGAGTAAATTCATGTTTTAAAGTATCAATATAAAGAGTAAACATTCCTGAATTCACTCATGTAATTTTATTTTAGTTTCCTTGTAAAAAAGTACAATTTACTCCAGAATATTTCAAGGCCACTTTTCCAACACCCAAAACATGCATAAATATAATCGGAATTTAACATAAGTAAAATGCGATATATATACAAAATTATTCAAAAATTATTTTATTAAATAACTAAACAAAAAGGTTATCGAAACATACCTTTGTGAAAACGAGATCTTCACTGCAAAAATCGCAATATATTTCAACAGTTTTTAATCGAACGGCGCGTTGAGAATAAATAGCTTGAATAATAATGACTGCACTGGTTCATGCGTTGCATTTCGGGAAGACCCTCATTCCTCCTCTGCATCGAGCTTAAGTTTGGAACAGCTGTCCGTTTTGCTCTTCCGCACAATGCTAAAAAGTCTCTCCTGTTCAGCATTACTATGCGGAATAACTAACACAACTTCTGCAATCTTTGATAGGTGTTTAAAATGATTGTGCTGGCATGTTAGTGGCATTTTTAAGTGGGCTAGATGCCACCATAGGATGTCGACTCTGTGATGAACAATTTGTTTCCATCTTCATCACTGCCATCAACGACCTTTGCTTCTTCCCATGCTCGTTCATCAATTGAATCATCAGTTAGAGCTTGATAATCTACAAATTCATCATATAGTTAATCAAAATTGATAAAGTTAGTGAGAAAAATTTGTCCAGAAAGTACTGTACATTTTCCCAGGTAGCATTAAGAGGGTTTGATACATCTACCCAAACAGCATTACATAATATATCACTGTTAATTGGAAATTTTTCCTGAACGTATTTCAAAGAACTCTTGAAGTAATGATGAGCAGCAGCATGTATTTTCTTGTAATCTGAATCACTAATAGTGCCATTATTACATAATCGGTTGAGTGTAAACTTTCTGGTGCCTCCTAAAAATAATGATCTTGAGTCCATAAAGATTTGTTCATTATCAAGGGTAAGTTCGGTTACTGAACCAGTGTCTTTCATTACACTTGGCAGGACAATACGATTGGCAAGTTTTCTTCCAAGCCTTTCGATTGCTGACTTCAGCACATGGATAGTTGACTCATCTCTTTGCAAGAGAAGGTTAAAATCAGTAAATAATGAAATTGAAGAGGTTTGGAAGAGCAGGGCAGGTTCCAGTAAAGGATTACCAAAAAGTCCGGACAACCTTTGAAATCGTTGATCAGCAAAATATTCACTTAAGAACTACGACTTTAAACTGGGATACTTTTTAAGGATTCTTTCCATGCAGTGTTGTAATGATAACCATCGAACAGAAAGATGTTTCAAAACAGCTTGATATTCTTGATTACAGAACTCAAAGTATTCAAGGAGCTTGCGTTTTCACTTTGAACTCTTATCAAACCAATAAAAACAGTATATACATACATCTTCTACATTAAGTCCTAAAACATCACTAAAGGAATCATTAGCATGACTTGCAGCTATATGAGCAAGATGGCATGGACAACCAGCAATGAACATTTCTGGATTTCTCTCTAAGAAGTGCGAAGCTACAGAATCGTTTCTTCCAATCATAGTACTATTTGTATTGTCAATACTTAAACTAACACAATTTGACCACAGCATGGAATCTTTGGTGAATTTGGCCTCGATGGCTTCGAATATTTTAAAAGCTTTGGCTCAATGTTCTCCCTCTGTCAAGTACATGTCAAAAAAATGGTTTGTGACAGTGTTCGATCGATTAATATCAAAGATTCTGATACTAACAGGGTTCATTTTCTTTACCCCTGTATCATTGGATCCGTCCGTACCAACACTGTAAGGATGCGTTTTACGGTGTTCTATGATGTACTTGTGACACTGGGGGCCAGGGTGTCATTCACAATAGCAGATGTCTTGGTTCTTCCACAGGAATATGATGAGGCTATTGAACTATCAGGAAATATCTCTTTGAAAAGAGGTCCAAGATGATCAGCAGTAGCTATAGGCAAATTATGTTGAATAAGGAAGTTTGTGACCATCACTTCTGCTTTAGTAACCTTTTTTGAAAAGTTAGTTTCCTTGTTCAGTGCAAAGCAAAGAGTTTTTTGTTTCTTAAACGATTTTCCCTTTTTTATATGTGTTTCGATCACAATGTGCCTTCACATCGCCCAAACCTTGGTGGTGGCATGATACGTTTTTGCCACAAGGAATGCAATGGAACCTGTGTTTATCATTAGGAACTCCACGCGTTGGAATCTCCTTTCCCCATTCTGTTTTGTAAGCAACTTTGTAAGTTGCAGCACCTGTATATTTTCGTTTTAAAGTACTCTTTGAAACATCACTGTCGCTGTCTGTGGATTCATTTTCGCTTGATTGAATATCGGATATTGATGTGGACGCCATGTTTGAATAATCTCATATGTGTGCATAATTATGCCTTACAGTGGGTATATTACTATAAATTAAACAAATTATGTACCAATGAATTAATCATTTAAAATGTTTCAATATCGTCGATCATGCAGTATGAAAACGTTACTACAGTAAAATATTGTGACGGCTATTCTGTTAAAACACACGTCCACTATGTAACTGTATTTGTGGGAAAATCACATTATTGCGAGTAAAAATATAATATAACAATGTGAAATTTTAAAAATTGAGTTTTAGAACAAGAAAGATCATTTATCGTGAGAATTGAATGTGGAATTGTGAGACTGTGAGATTGTAGTCAAAATTGTGAGTCTCATGGCAAAACCGTGAGACTTGGCAAGTCTAATATTATCTTTCCTGATCAATTTTGTGTATGTTCCATCATTTTTAATTTGTATTGTTGTTAAAAAAATTTGTCTGGTGGGCTTTATGAATTAAACTCCTTTTACTTATATTAATTGATAACTTATTAACATCACACCATTCCTTGACCTTATCAAGTTCAGAGTTCATCAAAAGCTTCAAGGGTTTTTAGGTTACTAAAGGTAGCAAAAATATTTGTATCATCAACAAAAATTTTAAATAATAAATTATCTGAGCAATTTGGAAGACAATTTATATAAATTAAAAACAACAATGGTCCCAGTGTACTCCCTTGTGGAATCCCACAAATCATAGTCTTTCTCGTTGATTCAAAATCTCCAAGTGTTACATATTGTTTCCCATTACAAAGATAACTTGCAAACCATTGTAGTGGAAGACCTCTTAATACCGTAAGCTTCCAGTTTGTTCAATAGTATAGTGTGATTCACAGTATCTAATGCTTTTGCAAAATCTATGAAAACTCCACAAGTATACAAATTTTCATTGATTGACTTCCTCAATGTTTTGGTAATTTCTGTTATTGCCTGTGTGGTTGAATGTCCTTTACGAAAACCAAACTGAAATTCAACTAGGGATCCAAGGATAGTGTGAAGTTTCAAATTGAGAAAGACACTGCAAGAACTATATAGGGTCACTGACAACCTAGAAAAGCTGATGGCTTACACTACGAAATAACAGTGACCAAAGGCATATTTCATCTCATCTATTGTTTTTAATGCATTCGGCACATGAGTAGCGAGACGTTTGAAACAAGCCAAACACATAAAAAACGTCATGCCTCGTGGAACTAATTGAGTCATTATTCAGTCCGCAAATACCCGTCCAATCCGTATTCCCGAGTGTGTCTCGAAACTTTGACACGTTATTATTGTGTTTATCGCGAATAACAACCCAGTTACCCACACCCATCTATTATGACGGTGATTATGAATAAAATTATAGCCAGGAATTCTCCGAGGATTGAAGCCAGGTTTCAGAGAGGGCAATGAATGAAAATTTATGATCAATATTCCCCAAAAAATTAGAAAAAGTATCAAAGTTCCTTGACAAACTACGAATATTAATATGAAGGAAAGATAAATCGTTAGAAGTTTCCTCAATATGTAGTTTTTCATTAAATTTATGCTTGGTATAATAATCACAGTTATTAACGTCTTGATAAAAATTATAGTCAGGGTCAATTTGACCAACATTTGCAAGATTTTTCTTGGCACCAATCAAAGAACTTAATGGGTTGTAAATGAGGGTAGATAGTCTGTCTTCATCAAAATTTACAGGGCCATTTTGTAATTGAAATATCATATGCCTAAACTCAGCATCATCTAGATTATGAAATGGTAATGTATCTTCCAGTAAATTGAATAATATCAATAAATAATAGTAAGGAATAAATAACCCCACAAAGTGCACTTAGCTTATGTAAAACTGGCTTTAAAGTTGTCAAAATCTTTCGCTGACCCAAATGAAATTGATCGGGCTTCTTCATCTTTCTTCAAATATGGTTTTCTGTACTTAGTTCAAACGTATTTGAAATTATGGATCCGTCTAAACTCTCACACGGTAGAACAGTTCTTTTGCTTGTTGAGTAAGGCTTTTGTTAATATACATATTTTCAGATGACCTTGTAAGTCCGATATGCGACGAGTTATAAGTTTTTAAGTTACCTTTAGCTTGATAAATCTTATCTCTTGTACTGCGTTTTGTAAACTTGGCAATGATTGTTGGAATTCGACCCCTTTTACTCGGCAATCGATGACTAACTGAGATATCTGTCTGGCCAACTTCAACACCAACGAGCTCACCGACCCGCTTGACTAATTCATCGGTATTCTCGTCATGGCTTTCAGGTATTCCATGGAATTCAAGACAATCTCTGCGACTATACAGGTTGAGATTTTCTTGTTCTTCTTCTAGGTTACACATTCTTTTATTCAATTCCTTTACTTTGTTCTTAAGTAGAATATTTTCGGACTTAAGCTGTTTATTTCCTCTTGCAGCAGAGTAAACAACTTAAGTAATTCGTCAAATTTGTTGCCTAGGAAGTCTGGACTTTTTTGTATAGCTTTTAAGCTCATCTTGTGTTGATTTATTATATTTCAAAACTACCTCATTTAGATCCTTCATTTGTGCTGTAAAGCAGCTATCTAGGATGTCTTCAAACGCTGACAATGGAGGCAACGTGGCATCAGATGTTGAAGTGTTTGTTTGCTCACCTGTGGCATTTGTTTTCTTCTTAGGAGGCATATTAAACCGCATAAAATATGTTCAGATTACTACAAGGTAGTAACCACTTAAATAACAATTCACAATTAGCAATAAAGAACTTATATTTTGCTTTTTACCGTCTAAGCTCCATGTAACATGTCACCACCATCTTAGCTCCATGTAACATGTCACCACCATCTTAGCTCCAATATCAAACTACCATATGATGTGATTGGGCTTAAGGTTTCAGATAACCCCACAAAGTGCACTTAGCTTATGTAAAACTGGCTTTAAAGTTGTCAAAATCTTTCGCTGACCCAATTGAAATTGATCGGGCTTCTTCATCTTTCTTCAAATATGGTTTTCCGTACTTAGTCCAAACGTATTTGAAATTATGGATCCGTCTAAACTCTCTCACACGGTAGAACAGTTCTTTTGCTTGTTGAGTAAGGCTTTCGTTAATATACATATTTTCAGATGACCTTGTAAGTCCGATATGCGATGAGTTATAAGTTTTTAAGTTACCTTTAGCTTGATAAATCTTATCTCTTGTACTGCGTTTTGTAAACTTGGCAATGATTGTTGGAATTCGACCCCTTTTACTCGGCAATCGATGACTAACTGAGATATCTGTCTGGGCAACTTCAACACCAACGAGGTCGCCGACCTGCTTGACTAATTCATCGGTATTCTCGTCATGGCTTTCAGGTATTCCATGGAATTCAAGACAATCTCTGCGACTATACAGGTTGAGATTTTCTTGTTCTTCTTCTAGGTTACACATTCTTTCATTCATCTTAGCTCCATGTAACATGTCACCACCATCTTAGCTCCAATATCAAACTAGCATATGATGTGGTTGGGCTTAAGGTTTCAGATGTCACTGTTTCCTGTCTGTGTGCATGATTATTATTTCACTTTATATTTTTCCCTTAGAAAAGTAATATTTTGTTTTTATTTCACTGTTGTAAAACTGTAATCACTGAAAGAACTTTATTAATTTTTAAATGACAGGAGTCTACTGCTACCTGGATCCAACGTGGTCAAGGCTCTTGCAGTGGCTGTGGCTGGAAATATCATTGTCGGTAGAAACCTTTCCATGGCCCTGTTCCAAAAATGAAGAAACGTCCCCTGGTACCAAAATGCACACTTGTTGTACAGACAGACAGGCGAAAGTATGTATTTATTCTGCCAATACTAGCACGCATGATGATGGGTGTTTAGTCATTAAACAAGATAAATCCTTGATGTGCCATCATAACATGTGCAAGCAGAAGAGAGCTATCCATATCAACAGCCAAAATGTGGAAGATTTTAATTGCAATCATCTGGAAAATATCCAAGAATGCACCATGCCACTCAAAACGTTTCAGAAGCTCCTTGGTGAGTTATACCCATGTGATAAAAACACCAGGGGTTTCAGAATAAGCCGGCGGAGTTCCGCCGGCTACTTGAACTTTAACCGCTGGCTACTTTTCGTCTGGCCACAGGAAAAAATTATTTACAAAGGTACAAGCGAACCAACACGATGTTTGTTATGTTCCAATTGGAATTCAAGCAAAACATCACTTATTTTGGAAGATCAATAAGATCAATAATATATAGTACCAAACATAGCTTGCTTTCTAAGTTGGTGTCGAAGTGAATCTTCCTGGAAGATAACTCTGATTGACTCTGACAGTGACTTAAGCATTGCCATTGGGGAATCCGAATTTGACAGTGAGCCAGAGAACCTTCAGAGCCACTTTGGTAAATGTTTTTGGCAAGTGACTAATTCTTTGACAACGAATTAATTATGATAAAGTGATGAAGTGAAAAACTCTGGGCCGCAGCGAGGGGGGGGGGGTTACCCCAACTTTTTTACAATTAACATATTCGGAAAATCGGGTTGGTCATTCGGAAAATTACGGCAATAATAGTATAACAAAATTTTAGTTGTTAAACAGAGAAAATATAATATAATTGTATTGTCAGTATAAACTGATTTATGAAATCATGGCATTTACATGGATATTAACATTTAACAAATCGTAAATCGGTAAATATGCATGCATACCTTTATCATTTAAATAATATACCTTTAAAATACTGACAATTGATTAATTTTAAGCGGCTACATTATCCATGACAAACTGCAGAGAATCATATTACCCATACTTTCCTGCAACTTCTCCATGCAATATATAGTTAATTAAATACGCCTTCGCCCATTTAGTACTACTAAATTGTACACAAATTGTAAATTTTGACATACTAAAACGCTGTTTTCTGACCATCAGAATTCTGTTCTAAACTTCCCCAAAGTCCAGGAAATGGCATTTCAGAGACTCTAAATTAAAAAATTCCTCGGGCCTTTGGCCCTCGTTCTCAGCTCCTAATCAAAAAGAACTTCCTACGGCACTGCATGCTACTCAGCTACTGTAATATGTCTGTGCGTAGAATATGCATATTTTTGTTTGTAAATTGCGTCTTCATTTTCCGGACAGCAACACCTTCGTGATTAAACTACAAATAGCACATTAAAGTACATTGTCACTTACAAGTATAAATGCAAATGACATCTAAATCTAACAAGTGAACAGTTGTACTTTATCTTCTCACTTATTCTATATTATCTGATTGTTAATTTGTGTGCGAAAATTTTTTAAATTTCCATGCGAGGGCACGCCCCCCTCCCCCCTCCCTGCGCGTTTTTTTAACTATCAGTCACAGCCAGCTACTTTTTGGTACAACCGCCTACTTCAAATCATTCTGAAACCCCTGAAACACAAGAGCAAGTTTAAATGAGCTTGCTGCAGAATGTGAAGAAACTGGTTTCCCAGTGGCAGTACATGTTTCTCCCATCATGCATTGTGTATTTGGCAGAGCTACTGCTAACAATGCTGCTGGTTATCGCCATCTACATGTAACTTGACACAGAGGTCAAACGCTGCTCAAAAGACTGCAAATCTTCAATGGTCAGAGGCAAACAACAAAAATCCAGGAGAATATGTATACTTATTTTTTATCAGTGAAAATGAAGCAATCTGATTGGCTGAGAGCCTTTCAGAGCGGGCCGGTTTTTTGCATCCGGCCCGCTCTGAAACACAACTGCCCGCTGTGAAATGCAACTGCCCGCTCTGGATTTCGCGCCAAAAACCGAGGAGTGAAACAATTTTGAAACGAAAATATCAGCCAAAAACGTTTGAAAAACATAGCCTAACCTGGCCTAATGATAGTCAGAATACGAAAATGAATTGCATCAAGCCCTAAAGACTTCATACTAAGCACGATGTTCACCAGAATTGTCAATATTTTGATAGAAATGTGACTGAAAGTCGGAAAGTTTATATTTGGCATGAATAAAACATATGTCGAGAAAACTACATATTTTTTTAAATGCTCATGTATTCGGCTACTTAAAAGCGAAAAAATTACAGCTTAAACAGAAATTGTAAAATAAATGTTTTCCCATTTAAAAGAAGGTTTAACTGCAGCAGTAAAAACAAGTCACGAATATATTCTCTACCCATTTGTGTCATGCATTTTTCACTGATATAAATATTGTAAACAAAGTAAAAGTTTGTGTTAAAAAACACTTTTTTCAAGCATATTATCCTGAGACAAGAAGAAAAAATACCAAAATATAAAAACAACATACCTTTTTCATTGTCCTTTTAGTAGAAAAACGATGATTAAATCAAAACAGATTCATTTTTATATGTTTTGATCGGTACTGAACATGAACCTGTCGTTGTCAGGACTCAGGAGCAACTGATTTTGTCAAAGCCAAAGCGCCGGGCATAAAAGTTTTTATTCCAGAGCTTCTCTGCTATCATATTTATGAAAAAAGCATGTACATTTTTACTGAAAGTATACGTCTTTTTGTGTGTTTCTTGCCATTTTCGTACTCATGTTTTATATCTTTCAAGTTCAACTTTTCAATTTTTGTCAGCCTCGCTTTGAAAATACACAACTACACTGATCTCAAATTAGTTCGCAGGCAACACTGGAATTTTAATGAATTTAATTTTTACATCTGATAAAAAATAAACACATTATTTACCAGCAGCGTCGGTCCGGATGAGAAAAACTGTGCCCTCGGTCTTGAAAACGTCCCTCACCCTTCGGGCTCGGGCCGTTTTCAAGACCTTGGGCACAGTTTTTCTCATCCGGACCTCGCAGCCGGTAAATAACATATATATATATATCCATGTACTAGCCAGGATGGCGTGATTGATGACGAATCGCTTGTAAAAACGCGGACAAACACTTGCTTGAGTGAGACTTCTGGTATACCTTCCTATTCTGTGACTGAAGAATGTAATAATATTAAAGATTCTGTAAAGTCTGTGATTTAAACACTTTGTTTACATTTTGAACTGCTATATTTGCTGCCGAGCGCAGCACCACTATTCTTGACGTGCTATGGTTTCTCCAGAGTCCACTCGACCCAGTCTTGTCGCGCCATCTATGTATTGTCGAGATCTCGATTTTGTGTCTGTCTGTTGGGATTTTGCATTTCCGGGGAAATAATTAAGGCTTCAGGTCATTTTTTTAAATGAGGGGGGCGGTCAAACTTATTTTGTATTCAATAGCAAGTGCATGATTCTTCTCAGTGTTTCAGTCAAATTATAATACAAGCAATACGAAGCAATACAAGCTTTAAATTACATGGAGTTTGTTGGATTTTCATGAATAAATCGGGTAAGGATGGCTTTATATCTTTCTGGTGATATACATGAAGGCATTACATATGGTGATATGCTGTTTTGATTTTGTATCACTATAAAAGTATTAATCGTATAGAAGTATTGAAACAATATAATTTCATAAATTTATGGTAATTTATCAGCAGTTGTCTAATGTCTTCGAGATTGTTTTGATCTATTTGTCAATAATGTCTTATTTATATATGCATGCAAGGAGTCAAAATGTACTTTTAGTTTATTTGTTTGTGTAGCGATGTGCCAACGCCCAAGGGATTAGTTTATAGACTATAGTGTTCATTCTAGATGTATGTACGTCTTCAATAATAATCAGGCTTAATATAAAGATTCCTATAGCAACCCAGTGTGGATTGGTGACAATGTTGTGTGCACATATTAGGCAGTTACATGTAATGCACCAATTAATGAACCCTGGAATATAGGTGGGGATTGGCTCTGAATAGTGTGCCAAAACAGACAAATACCCCCACCATATCAGACAAAATTTTCGAGCAAAAGACAAAATGCCCCACCTCCTTGGGGAAAAGTTGTGTGAGCGAATTTCTCTCTTATTATAATATAAGTGTGATATAACAGACGATTTGATTGGCTAATGCGTATGAATTGTGATGCAATAATGCACTGTGATCTGTGGCACTGCTTTGCTCTTTCTCTGTTTTTTCCCCTCTTCATCACTGCTTTTTAGCCAAAATTATACACAAAATTATAGAGCTTTTAAAATACAAAATTTACCAGAAAGCAAGAAGGAATAAACCAAAGGAACAAAGCAATTTTCCATAGTTCTACTTATAAAATTAACCGGCTTGGCATTCGTCGAATTTGTTGTTGTCTCAACAAGTTTTGGGTAAAAAGCGTACAAAATAGTCGATAAAAAAACTTTAAAAAGATACAGCTGGAAGACCAAATACGTACAAAAAGGCAACAAAAACTGAATACAAGTGATTTAGAAAGTACCTTCAATTCTTCTGATAATAAGTGCTAGATATATTTTCGGCGAAAGACAAAAAATACAATTATTTCGAAAATTAAAACTGAGTAATAAACACGACGAAACCTACAATTTACCGTCTTTCATGGCAAAACCAGCGGCCCAGTGAAAAACTTTGGCAAATTAGTCTGTGTGTCACTTTTTTTTATTTCCGCTATTTTAAACAATTTTTCTGGCTTTATAGCATCAAAAGTTTGTATATTGTTTTGGCAATTTTTCTCCTTTGCTCGTTTAAAAATTCAAGCGACAGTAAAAGCATGCACGTGACATCACTGAGTACATGTTAGGAGAATTTCAACGTCGATCTTTTGAGTAAAATTGTTGACTATGTAATATCTTCTACTTATATTATAAAAGAAATAGAAAAACTCGTCTCGTGCGTTTATGGTGTGATAATGCACTTGGGAAATGTTGGGAGAATACTTGAGAAGCGTGTAAAACACTCCGCTACGTCTCGTATTCTCCCAACATTCCCCGCGTGCATTATCACACCATAAACGCATGTGACTCGTTTTCTATTTCTTAAATATCAAACTAGTGTAATTTAATAGTGAATTATAGCGAATTTGTCTTCATAAATACCTCTCGATTTCCTTGCGAGCATACTGTTTTGACCTTTGTCACATGGTATAAAATGGTAGAATCTGGGGATTCCATTGGACAAAATAGTACAAAATGGCTGCCGACAATCCTCTGACAATCCCCACTATCTTCCTGGCGTAATTCGGCAGAATGACAAAACCAACAAATTTCCAACATGGTTCGGACAGAATTTGATGACAAAAATTCACCAATCCTCACCAAAGCCACTA